ATGGTGTCAGCCTTTACTAAAATGCTCGACAACAACAAACCGCCAGAACCACCGCCAAAGAAACCACCAGACGAGGATGACAGCGATGAAGAAGAAAAGAAGTTCAAACTGACAAAAATGATAGAAATAATGCTACACAACGGCGCTACAGTAGCAGATATCATATTAAACTTATCGCACAGCGCAATTGCAACAACTATAAATATCGCAGATTTAGTCAATCAAATAACAGCAGGAAATGCACAAAGTAGCAGTAGCAATTCATCAAATGAAGCTATTAGTGTTCATAGTTCTCCACCTATTACTGTCCATAGTTCTTCATCCGAAAGTCCAACAGAAATACCAGCACCAACTGAAGACGAAGATGAAGAAGAAGAAAACCAACATTTCAATTTTGAAAAATTAAAATCTAAATAATATTATATATAATGGGTATTGGTCAAAGTAAAAATAATGAAAATAATAGTTTGGAAGACATTAAGAATTTAAGTATAGATGAAAAAATACGAGCAGACACTTTAATTATTAAGTCTCTTCAAGAATGTGTGGCACGAATTGAGAAACTAGAGAAAGAAAAATCTGACAAATTAATATATAAATTACCTGTTCAATTATGTAATTATTCATTATTTTCAATTAATAATATTAAAACAAATTAATATTATTGATTACTATCATAATCTGTCATTTCACTATCGGGTAATTTCGTTGATGCATTGCTACATATATCATCTATTAAGTCTTCTTCATCAACAAAATTATTTTGAAATCTTAATAATTCCTCGTCTGTTGCCCTTCTTTTCAATACTTTATAAAGTTTATGTATCCAAGAATTAGTATGAAAATTATAATTACCTCTACGATAAAATCCCCCACATCTACATAGTTTCATTGACATATTATTATATTATATTAAATTAGAATATCTTTATTCATCATTCGTAATTTGAAACGCCTGTTCAAATCTGATATGAAACATTTTGTTAATGTCTTTAGCATTCATATTCACGTAGAAGAAACTATAAGGTGCGTCATTAACGGCTTGATGATACATATCTAATAACTGCTGTTTATCAACAATGGCGCTATTTTCTTCAATAAAACTCATTAACTCACTTGCATTTTTCAACCTAAAAATATATAATGAACTGGCATTTAAACGAATGATAGGCGCTAAAACATTATATTTTTGTGTTGAACAAGATAAATAATCCATGTAATAATTTACTATATCTAACAAATTTAGGATCGTCTGCGTGGTCATCTATAACGATTAATATTGAATGCAGTTTCTTTATCTTTTTAGATTTCATATAATTAATTATTTTCTTCTGTCTTTCAATTACATTTTCTAAATCACTTGGGTCATAATTATCAAAGTATATTTGTTCTTTTTCATCATCTACGTGCAATTCATCCCTGATGTATTTTTTAACTTCTGTAAAAGTTGGGTCATTATGAACGCTGGGTGAAAATATAAATATTCTTGCAAATGAATTTCTATAAACATTTAAAACAAGATTCTGAACTAAAACTGTTTTGCCTCCCGTCGAACTCGCAACTATAATACTTCTAAATGGTAGTTTTGGCACGTGCTCATATTTTTGAATTCATATTCAGTTATGTTTATTGGTTTTATTATTGGGACATCTGTCATAGTTGATATTAAAGAAATATAGAAAATTATATTTAAAAATTAACTTGTAATTAATATTAAATGGAACATCATTATGTTATGAGTGGCGGTGAATAACATAATGGAACAGGTTTTCCATTGCTTCAATCAATAAGCATTGAAGATAATTAGTTTTGTGTCTTGCTCGCGTGTGCAATGAAAACCCAAGTGCTGTGCCCCACCAATATTCTATTATGCATGAAAATAATAAGATCAAATAATTATTTTTAATAATTATTTCATCTTATTATTTATATGACTATTATCCATTGCAGTTGTGGTAAAACTTATGATGACAAATATTTATTTAAACATCTAAATTCAAAACATCATCATAAATTTGTGGAATATAGATGGAATAACGACGATACAATGAAAAACTGTACAACTCTAGGAAAAAGAACCATTTTCCTAGAGTTCTAGAACTTGAAAGAACTTATCAAGTTCCATCAAGTTGTACAAGGAAAAGAAACACAGAAATGAAAAAATAATTTATCTTATTATTTAATATGGATAGAAGTTATTCAGATTATATTGATATAATAGATGAAGTAGAGAATATAGAACAAGTAATAATAACTGACAATAAAATTAAGAAATGCTGTTATTATACATTAGAATTAATAAAATTAGGAATACAATATATCAAAAATAAAAATGTAAAGAATTATATATATGGGAAAAAAGAAAAACAAAAAGAATAAAACAGATACTACAGTTTCTTCAACAGATGAAGAAAAAGAAGAAGAAATTGTTAAAGAAACATCAGTTATTGAGTTTGAGTGTCCTATGTGTAAAAAGATATTACAAACGAAGAATGAATTAGAAATAAAAAATAAGGGTAACTGTAAATGCAGTTGTATACCAGTTGGTTTTAAAATAAGTAAAACAGATAAAAAATGAATATTGATAAAACAAAGGACGCTATCAATCTAGAAACAGATGTGCATAATATTTCTATCAAATTTGGAAATGAGGCTACACACTCGGAAAATGGTGATAAAGAAACTCCGGAAACTATTAAACAAATAATGAAAATTTAGTATTTAAAGAGTAGATTTTACATTAAATCAATTTTATAAATAAATAAATATTTAAATAAATTTTTATATAAATAAATATATATAGAAATGTCTGAAGTTGAAAATGATGTTATTGTTGAACTATCAAAGAAGATAATGACAGTTAGTAAAAATGTTAAACTGTTGTACGAGATGATAAAAACTATTGACCAGAAACTTGATGCAAAGGCAAACGAACCAAAAAATAACAATGAAGAGAAGGAAAAGTTTGATAAGATCTTTGAAAAGAAAGGGATAGGCAGACCCAGCGGTGATTATGACACGAAGCGTAAAAAATATTGCGATATGTTAAATAAGGGACAAATCAAAAGTCCAAAAGAACAAACATTAGAATATTATAAACTATTTAAGGGCGATGATGGTAAATATGTAATTGTTGAAAATTAAAATACAAATAGTTCTAATAATATGAATTTATTAGAATTATTTAGTGGAACTGGAAGTGTAGGAACGGCAAGCATGTGGAGACGGCGCAGCGACTACCAAGCGGAAAGAAGGCGGACTGGGGCGACTACTACATCACGCACAAGCAGGACGACTTATATAAAATACCAAGTGAGTTGACATTAGAAATCCTAACGGCAATTTTAATTTAGCATTGTTGAGCGTGGTATATACTTAAAGTAATATTATGTTAATAAACTATATGGAAAACGTTGTAAAATGCTTGAAATGCAAAAATGCAATTGACACAGGTTAATATAAAACGTGTGATAATTGCCGTGAATATATGAGAGCATATCATAAGAAACACCAAGAACAACTAAATCAACAAAGAAAATTACGACACGAAGCAAATAAGGAAACTGACAAAATCAAATGGAAAGAATATTATGAAACCAACAAAGACAACCTCAATGCAAAAAAGAAGGAGTATCGCAACCAGAATAAGGATAAATTACAAGAATATCACAAGGAATATAACCAAAAAATACATCATTGTCCATTATGCGGTTATGATGTCAAACTTTATAAGAAAACACAACACGAACAATCCTTAACGCATCAGAACAACCTAAAACAACAACAGAACCCAGAACAAACAGAACAAACAACTGAACAGAACAAACCATTTGAACTACGTAAAATCAAACCTTTAATACCTTAAAAACGAATGAACCAGACCTTGCCCATAATATGTCTACAAAATTTGTGATAAAATTTATTGTATAATAATTTATCATAATTTTTGGAATAATATTTTTTGATTTTTTATTTTTTTTTTGTAAAATTTATTTTTTTAAAATTTATTTTTTAAAATTTATTTTTAATTTTTTGTAAAATTTATTTTTTAATTTTTTGTAAAATTTATTTTTTAATTTTTTTGTAAAATTTATTTTTTAAAATTTATTTTTTAAAATTTATTTTTTAAAATTTATTTTTTAAAATATGGATGAACTTACTAGGAAATTACCTGCTTTAAAATGTTGATTTTTGAAAATGTGCTGTTTGAGGTGCTGTTTTAAAATGTTGCTAAAAGTGTGGGGAGGACCCTAGGTTTTTTTATAGAAAAAAGACGGGCAAGGTCTGGTCTAACTCTTGCCCCCTCGTGGACTGGGAATGGAGTCTTGCCGTTGCCGTCGAGCTGCGAGGCCACGACGAAGCCGCGCAAAGAGGCCGGCTCCACTTCCAGTGTTGCCTGGACACAGCGCTCCAGGCGCAGCGCCTCCATGTCCTCGTCACGGCGCTCGGAGCCCACGTAGACAAGCTGGTGGGCGTGGGCCCGCCCCGAGCCATGATAGTCTTGACTGGCGTTGCGGCGCTTGCCGTCTTGGAACTCCAGTCGCAGAAAAGAAACCACGGAGGCGTCGGAGCCGTCATGCCTCTGTCGCTGAAGGAGCTGCAGCTCTTCTTCATGCCCTCGCCGCTCTCGCCCTTCTCCACCAACAACAAAATTCTTGCCGATCTGGGTCAGCAAGTGGGCCTGGTGGAGCGCCTCATAGACTTCGTGCTGGAGACGGGCGGACTTTTCAGCTGTTCGAAAAGATGAGTTTCGGTCGCCCTTTCTGGACCGCCCTGCCTCGCCGACCTTTGCGCATGGCGTCCAGAATGTGGCAATGGTTGGGCCATGACCACTCCAGCGGGCTGTGCGTCGCGAAGATAGGCGGGTAGCCCTTCTGCCGCGTAAGGTCCACCAGCGCGCGGTGCATGTCGCGCCAGTACTCCGAGAAAAGCTCTGGCCTTTGAGTAGCAACCGGAGCGGTGTCCCCAGGTTGAGGTTGCGTTTGGCCCCGAGGTCTGTCCACAAGCCAAGGTCAAAGGCAAAGTGCAGGAGTTCGTAGGAGAGGCTGAAATCCAAGATAGGCGACAACACCAGGGCCATGTACGAGCGTTTTAGGCCGGTTGCATTTTTCGGCAGGCTTGTCTCGTTCAAGGGGTCAAAGTTCAAGCGCTCCTCCAAGGTGCTGCGCTCGCTGCCGCGGGCTTGCCGGCTGCTGCTCTGCAGCCGAGCCCAGGTCAAGCAGTGCTGCCGCTCCAGGAACAGATCTGGCCACAGGGCGCACTCCAGCCCCTCTTTCTCCATGAAGCGCAGCCAGCGGCGCCGCGCCCGAGCGTCGCACCCCGCGTTGTTGGCCAAAAAGCTCTCGTGCTCCCAGTAGAAATCCGCGTAGGCGCGTGCTGCCTGTAGCCGTTCAAATTGGTCCCGAGAGCGGGCAACAGGCCCGAAGTCCGGCTCTGCCGGCTGCAGCGCTTGTCGCACATCCAGCGAGAGACCGCGCAAGGCATCCGGCGGCGGCTGGGGCCGAGGCGCGGGACGCGCGCTGCGGCAAAAGATGCAATGCCTGGCGTCGCGGTGCGGGCGGAGGAGGCCGCGAAGGCGGCGAAAGGTCCCTGGGCTGCAGAGCGCCGCATGAGTCACAGACCTGCCAGGAGTTGAACTCCGCCCAGAGTTGCAAGTTGGCCGCCAGGCGCGTGGCAGCCGCCTTGGCCACAATATCCTCGTTCGAGACTTCCGCGCCGCGCGGCAGTCGTGGCTCTGCTTGCTGCATCATGTTCAAGCTCTTGCGGCGATCATCGACAACCTTGACCCGGTACTCCACCGCGGCGACCTCGGGCTCTGCGACAGCCTGCCTTTGCCGCAACACTTCTTCCCACGCCGCGGCGCCCGCGCTGTAACGCGCTGCAAGGTCCTCCGGGGTGTAGGGCGCTGCTCCGCGCCAGGATTGGTCTTGCCGGCGATAGGCTCTGGGCGCCGGTTCTTCTGCTTCGAGCAGGGGCTGGGCTGCAGCCAGTTGGTCACGGTGCTCCGGCCGCACAACGCGCCCCAGCACTGCTTCTTGCGCTTCTGGGCTGAGCTGTGCAAAGCGTCTGCGCGCCGCGGCCGCGCGGAGGGGAGCATTTAGAGCTTCTTGCAGGTGCTCCGGGTTGCAGAACAGGCAACGCGCCGGGCCGTGGGGCTGCGCGGGCCTACCCTCAGCGCCAAAGGAGCATTGGATGCCATTGTACCCCTGACAGTACTTGTACTTGCCGGCGACGGCCTCCTCCACTTCTGCCTGAGGTTGGGCGGCAACTGCGGCCAGCCAGTTCCGGTAGCCAGGCTCCCGAACTCGCCCCAGGGCAACTGCTTGCATCTGCGGGGCGAGCTGCGCAAAGCGCTTGCGCGCCGCGACCGCGCGGGCGGGGTCGCCCAAGGCTTCCTCCAGGCGCTGCGGGCTGCAGAAAAGACACTGTGCAGGGCCGTGGGGCTGCGCGCGCTCCCCTCCAGGGCCAAAAGCGCACTGGATGTTGTCAAAGCCCTGGCAGTACTTGCGGGCGGCAGCTGGCTTCAGGACAGGCTCTGCTGGCTCAGGTTGAGGCCGCCCTCGCTTCTCTCCTCTGGCCTGGCAGGGAAGAGATGGGTGTTGCGCAAAAAAAGTAATGTAAAACTTCGCGCCTGCGGCGGTTTTTCTTGGCGAGCCATGCCGTCTTCAAAGCGGGCAAAGCGCGCGAAGCAAACTGTGAGCCACAAGGAAACAGAGCCAATCTTTTGGGGCGGAGCTGCACGCTGGACGCAAAGCTTGGCTGAGCGCTGGGCAAACACAACAATTGGCTCGACATAAGCACATTTTTCCACTTGGCGCGCTGTTTGGCTTTTGCGCCGCCGCGCGGCGGGCGGCCTGTAAGGCGCCGCCCGGCCGCGGGCAGTCGGATTTGAAAAGTCGCCTTGCCCACTGTCCAGGGATTGGGCGAAGCGATCGGATCCTACCTCTCAGCGGCCGCTCAGCTGGCGTCCTCCTGGGCCTCGCCTTCGTCGCCGTGCTCCGGAGCGACGGCGGATGCCTCCTCGCCGTGGTCGTCCTGCAAGATTTTCAGGTGTGCCGCGAACGCCAAGTACGCCAGCGTCCCAGCCCGGCCCACATCTCGAGGCCAGGTTTTGGCGCGGATGGAGCGGTACTTCCGCGCCGGGCTGACCCCGGCCCACTCCAAAAGGTCCGCCGGCACCGCGGAGAGAAGCCCAAAAATTGCGGCCGCCTTCGGCTCGGGGCCGTTGCGGTGGGCGGCAAAAAAGTTCACGGCGGCAAGGTGGAACTTCGCAGCTGTTTCTGCGTCGACCAAGTCGCAGAAGGCTTTCTTGGGCCTCATCGAGCTGGTTCTCTGCTTCCACCGGCACGTGGTCGCCCTTCAGCTGCTGGATCAGCTCCGCGACCTCCTCGGCTTTGCTCTCTTCCGCAAAGGCTTTGCGCGCGTAGCACAAAGTGAGCACGCCGTGGCCTATGAAGTCTTCTTCCAGCGCCACCTTGTGCTTCGGGGCGCAGAACATTTCCGCTTCCTCGAGCAAGGTTCCGATGTACTCCTCCCGAAGCGCGCGGAGGCTCGCCGCGCAGGACTCGCTCGCCTCCGCCAGGTCGTACTGCTTCCGCAAAGAGTTTGGCACGGCCTCGATGGCCTGCCGCAGCGTCTCCGGGGTCTCCACTGTCGCGGTGAGGTCAGAGGTGCTCTGGAGCCAGCGGAGGAAAGCGGGGGTTGGCCACGCCCCGACGGATGGCTGCTCGGCCGGCTTGTTGGGAGCGGCCGCGGGGGCCTTCGCCGCAGGCTTTGGGGCCGGCTTTGCGCCGAATAAGGACCTTTTCGGAGCCGGCTCCGCGGAAGCCTCGGCCGGCGCCGGGCGCTTGCGCCCAAACAGCGTCGGCCCCGCAGCAGGCGCCTGGCTTGCGCCGAGCGGGTCTTCGGCCGGAGCAGCCGCGGCGGCCGCGGGCGGCGCCGGCTCGGCGAAGGGCGGGGCGGCGTAGTTGCCGTAGTTGCCAAGCGGGTCCCCTCCCGCGGCGGCGACCGGGCGCTGCGAATCCAGCACTTGGTGATTGTAGGCCGCAGTCAGAGCCCGCAGAAGGGCTTCGTCGTTGGCCGGATTCTGGAGGAAATCCCGCACTGGCGCTGGCAGCGCGCCCAGGTTTTTGGCTAGCTCCGTAGTCCATTGTCCGCGGTGAGCCAGCACCGCGGCGGCCTGGCCGGCCGAAAGTTTCGAGCGGTCTAGGGGGCAGTCGAGAACCCGGCCCTTTCTTGTTTCTTTGTTTCCGCGCGCCTCCAGCGCATTCATGCTGAAGTTGTAGATGTTCGCCGCCAGCACCGCCGAGCGCTGAAAGTGGGCCGTAAGGCCCTCGTCGGCGCAGTAGGAGAGCAGAGTCTGCACCGACGTCTCCACTTCCGCGGCCGCGGGCTCGCAGTTCTTCGTGGCATCCAGGATTTCGCAAGCGCGCTGGATCTCCGGTCCAGCCGCCGCGGCAATCTCCCCCAAGCCGGTGGCGTCGAAGTGGTCTCGCGCATAGGTCGCAATCTGGGCACCTCTGGCCACCGAGGCCGCCAGCATGGAAAGCCACCTCCCCGGCCGGTTCGCGCCTTCAAAGTTGCCGCGCGCTGACATTCCCTCGAGGGTGATCATGTCCGAGTCCTTGCGCGCCCCACCCTTGTGGACAAACACAGAGCTGTCCTCCGCAGGATATGGGCGAAGCACTTCGACATGATAGGTGGCGTCCATCTTCACCGCGAAGGTTCCGGCGCCCGGGGCGCCAAGTCCCTTGCCCTTGGGCCCAGCCTTTCCCCAAGGAGTCTGCCACTGGCCCTGTCGTCGTGCGCCGCCGCGGCCCATTGCTGCGAAAGAGCTTGAAGGATGCGTTCGCGTTCGAGTTAGTTCGCTGAGCGCTGCGGGGAAACAACTGCTTGGCGGCTTCCCTGCGCGGTGACTTGGGGCCTTGCTCAAAACAAGTGGCGCAAGACTACGACTCGAGCTGGCCTGGAAGGCGCCGTCGGCGGCCCTGCGGCGAAGGGCTTGGCCGAGAGAGCGTCCTGGCAGAGGTGGCCGGACAGCCGAAGCCCCCGGAAAAAGGGGCGCTCAAGGTTGGCAAAAAACCGACGGAATTTCATTTCAGGCGAGGTCCTGGGAGTTCTTTTTTCGCGGGACGGAAAGTGTCTTGACACAGGCGAAGCCCCCGCAAAAAAAGGCGTTCGAGGTCAGCAAAGAAATTGCTTTTCAGGCGAGGCCCGGAAATTCTTTGCCGCGCTCGAGGCGCGGGGGTTTTTAGTTTGGCCCCGCCGGCCTGGGTGAGGCAGTCGCCGCGGCGCAGCGCCTTCGTGCCCGCGAGGAAGTTCGCCGCGCGCCGCCAAAGCGGTCGCTTCCGGTCGCCGGCTGTGAAGACCGGCGCGCTGCTTTCCTGCTTGGGAGGCCCGAAGCGCGAGGGAATCGGCCTGACTTACATCTGGAGCTCGCAGCCCCTTTGGCTTACATTTTTCTGAATTGGCTGGCAACACAATTTTTCGGGCAAGGCCCTGAAGGTTCTTTTTCGAGCTCGAGGCTCAAGGATTTTTGGATGGGCCCCACCCGCCTGGATGAGGCGGTCGCTGCGGCGGCGCCTTCGCACCCGCAGCAAAGTTCGCCGCGCGCCGCCCGAGCGGCCGCCGTCGGTCGCCGGCTAAAAAGACCGCCGTTGCTCTCCTGACAAGGCGACCCGGAGAGCCAGGGACAAGGCGACCCGGAGAGCCAGGGGATCGGCTCCATTTGTCTTCGAAACTTGCGGCTACTTCTTATTTTTTTCTAGATCGAGGGCTCTTCCCGCCTCGTCTCCGAGGGCTTTCGGTCCGCGACCGCGGAGACTGGCGTGACTTCCTCCTGACGGGGCCGACCGAAGCGCGGGGCGATCGGCTCGACTCGCGCCCTAAAACTTGCTGCCCTTCGGCTGGATCTCTTTTTTTTTGTGGAGGGCGCTGACCCCTGATTGAAGCCGCCCAGACTTCTTCCCGCCTTGCCTCCAGCGGGCGCCGGACAGGGCCCCGACAGGCTTCCGAACAGGCCTCCGGGCGCGTGTCCTGGGAGCGATTGACGGACAAAGAAAGTTGAGCGGGGCTAGTCGTCAATCAGTTGGGGGGCGACCGTTCGTGTCTTAAGCTGCGGGTTAACTTTTAACTTGCGTCGGCATGCCCCGTCGTTTCCAAGTTCGGAGGTGTCTTGGGCTGTGGGTTAACTTCAACCTGCGTCGGCTTGCCCCGTCGTTTCCAAGTTCGGAGGCCGAGAACGCGCTTGTCGCGATTTGACCTCGGCCAACTTTCAACTGCTGCGATTTGCAAGGAATCATTTCTGATTTCCTCAAAGGCCAAAACTGTGTCGAAAGTTGGGCTAACATGACATGTCCCCGCGCATTTGAAACTAGATGTTCTATCTGACCGCACCTTGTTCGGCCCTATAGGCGAAGCCGTCTTGCCAAAATTTCCAAAAATGTCGAAAACACGTGACAGCGCTAGTGTTTTCTTGGGGGGCCCGCCTAGGGCGCGCTATAGCTCTTGCGGGAATAGCCCGAATTGGCCTAGGCAAGCCTCTAACATCTGCGCAAAGCGCATTTTTTGCGACTTCTTCCGTTCTCAGTTGGCTTGAAAACAAGGGCTTTTTCTTCACTTCGCCGTGTTCTCGCGATGAATGTTTTGGGTCCCCCGCCAGGGCCAAAAAATCAAGTTTGGGGCTCCGAAAAGTTGCCCAGCGGTTCTCGAGCTTTCGATTTGGGGCCGATCGCTTGCCCTGTCAAAAACAGTGAACAGTCCTAGCGTTTCCCTGCCCTTTGGCCCCCGCCGTCGCTGCCCTTTCGTCCGAAAACTCTGTTTTTTGACCCGAAAACGGGGCTCCCATAGGGGTCCGTGCCTTTTGAGGGCTTTCCGCAAACCTGGCTGCGAAACGCTAGGCTCTGGCATCGAAAATCTAGCAAAAAAAAAGGCTGCTATTGGCTGGCAACAAGCACATTGAGCGCGTGTTTTCCCCGGGAGGCAATCTAAAAAAATCGTTCCCCGGGGTCTTCCGAAAAAATCCTAAACCCTAAACTTTTGGTAGAAAAAATCGAAAACGCGAATTTTCGATGCCGAAACCTAGCGTTTTGCTAGCAAAAAACTGCACGACGACCAAAACCGCCCGCCCGTAGTGGCTGAGCCAGGCCTGAGCGAGAGTCCAGTTTAAGGGCATGCGGCCCTTCCTTCGCGCCCGCGCTCAATCGCGCGGAGAACGCGCCGCAGTCCATCCCCGTGACGGACCGCGACGACGTCCAACGGCGACGGCGTTGGAGCGATCCCCGCCGGGAGCGCCCCTCGTCCGCCGCCTCCGCGCGAAAGAGGCACGGGCCCCTCGCGGGTCGGTGGGGGGAACCCCTTCTGACGCGGCTCGCCCCCCCAACCGAGCGTCCTCCATCCAGAACTCGGAACGAGTTGAGCGATCCGAGTTCCGAACTTCTTCGGAACCGCCATCCCCGCAAGGGCGTGGGTTTTTCACCGTGTTCTGGCCGCCGCCCGCCCGGAGCGCCGACCTGCCCGCGATCCGCCTGAGAAACTCCCGAGGAACACACTCGAGAGCTGCGGGGGCGCCGCGCCGCGTTCGGACGACGGCTCAGCCGACTACTGGCCCACGGCGAAGGCCGACGCCGCCAAAGCGACGCCGGTCAGGCCTCATGCCCTCCTCCCGGACTGAGTTTAGCCTCGACCTTGACAAAGGTCGAGGTGCGTGAGGGCTGAGAAGCCTCAGACCACGGTCCATTACCATCGCCGCCGCACGCGCGCGACCACGCGCGATCGGATTCCTCCCGGAGGATACGTCGAGGCGCGCCGCGGCGGCAGCGAATAGCCGCCGACGTCCTGTTGAAGGACGGCAGCGGCGCGAGGGACACGGTCAAGAGGCTTTTCAGGGGCGGAGGTCTCCCGTCGTGGACGCGACTCCCGATCCCTCTTCCCCGTTTCACGCCCCCCCGGCACGTTGGGGCTTCTGCACCTGGGCCTCCCGGAGTTCTGGCACTTCATGCCCGAAGTTCACACTTTAAGACGGTGAACTTCGAGCGATCGTGCGCCGCCGGGGCCTGCCCAGGCGACGGTTTTTAGTTCCCCCGGAGCACCCCTTCCCGGCCGCGCCCGAACCGAGCGCGGAGACACCTCATCGAAGCGCGCTTTCCTTCACGGAAGCAGGACCGCGCGACGAGGCGCCGCGTGTTCGGGTTCCGGGTGGGTCTTCGCGCCGATCGCGCGCGGTCGTAGATCCCAGTCACGACGTCAAGATCACGCGCGCGTCGCCGCTCCCTCGGTCACGAATCGAGAGGGCCACGGGGATGCTCTCCCCCCGGTCGTGACGTCAGGAGCGCGCTTGCACGCGACGTTCCCTCGGTCCTGAGTTGGGGGGGCCCGACGAGCTCCCCCAGTCAAGACGTCAAGAACGCGCGCGCACGCGGCTGCGTGCGCCGGTCGCCGACGCCCCCTTGAACAACGCGCGGAAGACCCCGAAGAGTCCCCCGCCGCGCCCTCAAGGACGTCGACGGCTCGCGCGCTCGCGCGCGCGTCCTCTCGGTCGTGTCCTGAGGGAGGGCGTCCGCGTGCTCGCCTCCCCTGTCACAACGTCAAGAACGCGCGCAGCGCGCGCAGAGGCACCCCCTCAGACCGCAGATGAGATACCCAGAGGACCTGGGTCCCATCGCGCGTCTTCAGGGATGTCTCGCCGCAGGTCGTCCCCTTGACCAGCGGACGAGGGAGTTCCAGAGGAACCCCCCGTCATGGTCTCAAAGACGACAAGCGGGCGCAAAAAGTGCGGGCCTGCTCCCTGTATAGGGCAGGTTGGCGAAAGAGGGCGGAGCCCTTTAAGAACCCTTGGCAGGACCTGGTTTTTAGTTCCCCCCTCAGTAGGGGCGGCCTAGCCTACAGGGTTTCCCTGTCCTGAAAAAGGGTTTCCTGGAATAGGGATCCTCGGGTTGTCCCCTTCCCTGAGGTTCTTGGGTCCTCTCCCCTGGCTGTTTGGGGTTCTCGGTTGTCCCCTTCCCTTCCCACCTGGTTTTTAGTTCCCCCCAGGACTTCGACCGGCCAGGCTCCGATCGAAGGCAATCTCCTAGGGGGCGCCGTCTGCGTATTTTATTGCCTCGCCAGGCGCGCGCGCACGCCAGCACGCGCTGAATCCACTTTTTTCTTGTTTGCGAACACTTCGCTTGGCTTCGGCTTCTTTTAGCCCCGCTCTCTGCTTCTTTCAGTTTTTCGAGCCCCTTCACTGCGTGTCAGTCTGTTTTTCAGCCCCCTTTTAGTCCGTCTTTGATGTTTGTGTTTCAGTCCCAGAGACCCTTTCTCTCAATTGTCTTCTCCCCCGCCGTCCCCTTCAGTGCCTTTCAGCCCCCTTCCTTCAGTCCTTTAAGTCCCCCTTCAGTCCCGTTCGTCCTTTGAGCCTTCGTCAGTCCCTTCAATATCTTTCAGTCCCTTCAGGCCTTTTCCGTCCCCCTCAATCCCCTTCCCTGCCGTTCCTTTCAGTCCCCTTCAGTCCGCTTCAGTCCCCTTCAATCCCCTTCAGCCCCCTGCCGTTCCCTTCAGCCTTCAGTCCTTTCAGTCCCTTTCAGTCCTTTTCAATCCCAGTCCCCTTCAGTAGTAGTAAGGAATGTCAGCTTATAGTCCCCCAATTATTTGGGATTTTTGGTCCCAAAACGCTCCAAAACTGCATAATTTTCAACCCGCTGAACTTGTCACCAGCGAAGTCACCGCTTCGTCACCGCTCCGTTTTTGGAGCAAAAAGCGCTGAAAACGGCGAACTCCGAAAAGTGCGTTTTTCGTGTCCGGCGTCAAAAGTGCTGC